TGGACTCTTCCTTCTCACTCATCTCCGTCTCACACGCACTGTACGACAGCCGCCTGCCGCCTGACTTCTTCAGTGCCCTGGTGTGTGACATGCTGCGCTTCTATGCGGAGCAGGGCGACGTGCAGATGGCCGTGTCCGTGCTCATTGTGCTGGGTGAACGCGTGCGCAAAGACATCGACGAGCAGACCCAGGTGGGTGACAGGGTCTGGGGGGGTCTCCCTGGAGCAGCTGCCACCCCCAGGACTACCCCTGCACGCCCCGCCTGCACCCGCCCCTCTGTCTGTGCCCAGCACACTTGGGGGAAGCTCCTCAGTGTGCCCGAAACCCTGGTCTCTTACCTCCTTCCTCCCCTCCCTGCACCACCAGGAGCACTGGTACACGTCCTACATCGACCTGCTGCAGCGTTTCTGCCTCTGGAATGTGTCCAACCAGGTGGTCAAGCTCAGCACCAGCCGTGCCATCAGCTGCCTCAACCAGGCCTCCACCACCCTGCACGTCAACTGCAGTCACTGCAAGCGGCCCATGAGCAGCCGGGGCTGGGTCTGCGACAGGTGCCACCACTGCGCCAGCATGTGCGCCGTCTGCCACCACGTGGTCAAGGGTCTGTTCGTGTGGTGCCAGGGCTGCAGTCACGGCGGACACCTGCAGCACATCATGAAGTGGCTGGAGGGCAGCTCCCACTGCCCCGCCGGATGCGGCCACCTGTGCGAGTACTCCTGACCCGCCTGCCGGACCTGGATGGGTGTGCGGGGCTTGTGAACCAAATAAAGGAAGCGGGAGACGTATTCTGAGGCTGCCTGTCACCCGGTCGCGTCGCTTACGGTCCCGCGCGGGCGACTCTGGTGGGCGGGTGGCAGTGTGTCCACGGGAGCTGGCAGTAGCCAATAGCAGCTCTTGGTGCGACCTTCGTCCCGCCTTCCGGAAGTGCCCCCTCTTTCCAGGACGGGCCAGAGGAAGCCGCTTCCGGGAGCCAGCCTGTTGCCACGACGACGGAGCTCCCGGCATGCCTCGCGGCGGCGGGATATGGCGTTGGGGGTGCGGCTACTCCTGTTGCTCGCGCTCTGGACGCTGGTGGTTCCGGCCCGGAGCCTCCGGGAGGCAGGCGACGGAGGGTGGTGAGCGGCGCCGGGCGGCAGGGCGGAGCGGGGCGGCCGGCGGGGCGGCCAAGGGCACTGACCAGCTGTGTCGGCAGGCGGCGGCCCGGGCCGGGGGCGCCGGCGGCCGTGGCGGAGGAGGAACGCTGCACCGTAGAGCGCCGGGCCGATCTCAGCTACGCCGAGTTCGTGCAGCGGTAAGCGCGTCCTCTTGTATGGCCACACCTCCCACGCCTGAAAACTCTGGGGCTCCGTCACCGTGCACCGCTGAGGCCGCGCACTGGTCGCCGGCCCGTCCTCCCGGGCCTCCTTAGGCCGCTTCCCCTTGAGCTCGTGCGAGCGCGTGTGAGCGGGGGCGGACGATGGGCGCGGATCAGACTGAGGCCATGATTCCTCCTTTTCTTCTAGCTACGCCTTTTCCAGACCTGTCATTCTGCAGGGGCTCACAGACAACTCGGTGAGTGCTCACGCTCCTCGCGACCACCACTCGCCCGTGCTGAGCTTGGCCCCTGAGTATTTTCCCCGCCCCCACAGAGGTTCCGGGACCTGTGCTCCCGTCAAAGGCTGCTGGCCTTGTTTGGGGACAGCGTGGTCCGGTTGAGCACTGCCAACACCTACTCCTACCAGAAAGGTGAGCTGCCCCTCCCAGCAGCCCAGCCTGCCTGCCAGCATCTTGAAGGCAGCACCAACCAGTCCTGACCAACCCCTTTCAAACTGCAGTGGACCTGCCCTTTCAGGAGTATGTGGAGCAGATGCTGCACCCCCAGGACCCCTTCTCCATGGGCAATGGTGAGCCAGACAGGTGGCCATGGGGTGGGGTGGGGTGGGGTGACTTAGTACCCAGGTGCCAAGATTCCTGCATCCTCTTGTGTGTTTTGCTGTCAGACACCCTGTACTTCTTTGGGGACAATAACTTCACGGAATGGGCATCACTTTTTCGGCACTACTCTCCACCTCCATTCAGCCTGCTAGGTACCATTCCTGCTTATAGCTTTGGAATTGCAGGTGAGTGCCCTGCAGGACCAGGGGACTTGGGAACTGGGTGGGGGAGGATTAGGCTTGGTAACCAGCTGCTCGTAACTCACCACACAGGTGCCGGCTCTGGGGTGCCCTTCCACTGGCACGGGCCCGGGTTCTCAGAGATGATCTATGGCCGAAAGGTCAGCAAAGGGTGGGGCTGAGACTTTGGGTTCACTGACCACAGCACAAAGAGTGACCTTGCTGCTCCCACCCTCAGCGCTGGTTCCTGTACCCTCCTGCGAAGACACCTGAATTCCACCCCAACAAGACCACACTGGCTTGGCTCCGGGACACATACCCAGCCCTGGCACTATCTGCACGGCCCCTGGAATGCACCATCCACGCTGGTGAGGTCAGTGGCTGGCAGACAGGGGCCAGGCTGGGCTGGGTCAAGGGGCCCCAACCAATCCCTGTGTCCCCCCCACTCCCAGGTGCTGTATTTCCCTGACCGATGGTGGCACGCCACACTCAACCTCGACACCAGCGTCTTCATCTCTACTTTTCTCAGCTAGCCAAAGGGGGTGGCTGGGGAGCCCGTCGCACACCAGCACATGCCCCTATAGTGCTCACAGATTTTATTACAGGGACAGAGATGGCAGCGGCAGCCTCAGCCCAGCCCACTCTCACCCACTGTTTCTGGCCCAGAGGGGGATGGGGGAGGCTCATGACCCAGCAGAACTGATGGGGGTGGGCTTGGGGACACCAAGATAGGGATCTAGGGACACAAACTATGTACAGCGGCTAGAGACTACTGCCCAAGGCCCTCCTGGGCCAGGGTACCAGGCAAGGCGGGTGAGTGGCTCACACACTCGCCCTGCCTCAGTAGTCCTCCACCCAGCCATTCTCGGAGATGAACGCGTCAATGACCTCTTTCATAGCCAGGTTGGGGATGAGCTGTTCCTGGGTCAGGGGGCTCCGAGTCACAGGGTCGAAATGGCCCACACGCTGCAGTGACAACAGAATCAGAATTAGGAGGGGCTCAGTGGGTGTGGGTCCTGCTCCCAACTCCCATGGGCCCTCACCTGCAGGTGCTCCTCAATGTCCTTGCGGTCATAGGTGATACCACTGGGTGTGATGCAGGGCTCCCGCATCAGCTCAAAGCTGATCTTGCCACACAGGTAGTCGGGTATATCTCGCTTCTGCAGCACAGGGTCAGATCAGGGGCTGGGAAGGGGCACTGCTCCGACTCCTGCTACCCACAGACCCCAGAAGACAGGCAGCTCACCTTTCTCTTCTCGTCTACCTGGGAGAAGAGTTCATCCATGTCTGCCAAGTACTTGTCCTGCAAAGAACCAAGCAGCTATGTTTGTGGGCCTGACACCCCATCTCCCTTCCCCAGGCACCGAAACTCACAGACCCAGCAGGAGCCAGGGGCACCTCACGTCCATTACACGCATGCAAATACACACAAGACCCACACTTGGGCTGGGGCACCCTCACATGCTTGGCCTCAATGCAGGCCTGTTGGGCCCGGAGGTGGCCATCGTCCTCATCACCCTCATGGTTCCGCTGACACTCTTCCAGCTCCCTGGAGGTTGACCAAAAGCTGATCAGAGATGGGTCTGGCCAGGAGGTCAGACTCCACTCCAATCTTAGGCTCATTCAGGCCTCATTCCCCTCCATCTCCTGCGTGCCAGAGTTGACCTTCAATAAATGATTGTGTTCACGACTCAGAGTTAACCTAAAAGTGGTGACTTCCGGGGGGCGCCTGTCATCACCACAGCCCACCTCTCACGCTCGGCCACGATGAGCTGTGTGAGGTAAGAGTGCAGCTCGTTCTCCTGGTGGATGCGCCGCTCCTCAATGCTGTTCCAGCGCTTCTTCTTCGCGATGCGCAGAGCACTGGGGATGTCGTCCCCAAAGTTGAGCCGCTGCTCCTTGGCCAGGTTGTAGGCTGGAGGAATAGAAGATTTGGATAAACCTCCAGCCAGTCCACCCGCCTGGTCCCAGGCACCCTGGCACCAGCCAGCCTGTAAGCCCACCTCGCTGCAGGTTGGCAATAGCCTCATCATAGCTCTCCATCTCCAACTGGCATTGCCCCAGGAAGAAGTGTGCCTTCACAGACTGCCCGTCCAGCTCCAGGGCGCGCCGGCAGTCAGCCAGAGCTTGCTCATGCTGCTGCATCTTCAGGTAGCACAATGCCCGGTTGGTGTAATACACTGCCACCAAGGGATTCCGGGTCTGGAGAACAAGGGCAGACCAGCCAGCGTGAGGGAGTGAGCTCAGCCTACCCCCTCTGTCCCAGCTTGAAGCCCATAGCTGGAATCAAGACACTACAGGTTTCTCCGCTTCCAAGCCTCTGGGTTCTGAGGGAGGGTGGAGCCTACCTGAGCCCACCCTCTGGACTCCAGTGAGTCTTGTGAAGGTAGCTTTTCCAGATCTGTGGAAATCACCAGCTTTGGGCTTGGACTCCTCAAAGGGCAAGGGTCCCTGGCCCCCAGCCGAGTGGGCCTCAAGCACTCTGAATCTCCCACCCGCCACAGTTCTCTGGCAACCAGCACTGGCTCGGGAGCCGTGGCCTTGGCCCCTCTGGAACAACATCATCACTGAGTTCTCAGAGCCCAAGCACCACCCGCCTCCGAAAGTCGGGCGGGGGTGGCCAGACAGGGGCTCCGGGGAGGACGCGGAGGCGAAGCCGCAGTCCGGCCCCTCCCCTGGCTCGGACGCCGGCCCCCTCCCGCGGTGCAGGCGCACTCACGATGGCGCGGCCATAGCAGGCCGCCGCCTCCGGGTACTTGCGGCCCACGAAGAGCCGGTTGCCCTGCTCCTTGAGCTCCTGCGCGCTCGGGCTCTTTTCCGGGCTGCCGCCGCCGCCGCCGGCGCTCAGCCGCGCGCCGCCCTCCTTCTCCTCCTTGCCCTTCATGGCGCCGCGCGGCACGGCCTGGGCTCCGCTCCCAGGCTCCGCGCCGGGCCCGCCCTACGCCCTCAGCCCGAGCCCGCGATCCGCTCGGGCCCGGTCCGGCGCTCCGCCACCGGAACTTCCGGCCGCGCAGGTGGGCGGGGCCAGCGGGAAGGATGGCCTGCGAGCGGGCGGGGCCGCGCGTGCACCAGACGCGAAGCGGAGGACGGGGAGGGGGAGGGGCGGGGCAGGCGGGGGAGCATGCGCTCGCGGCGACGCGACGCGCAGCGTCTGAGGCCTGAGAAGTGCCGAGGTCGTCGGGGCAGGAGCCCGCTCGGGCACTCCGACGCCCCGCCCCCGAGGCTCCGCCCAGGCGCGTGGGGATGGCGACTGCCCGCGGGCTCGGGCTGTGAGGACTCGAGCAGCTGGGCCAACGTCCTGGGGTGCCACGGGGAAGTGCTGCGGGCGCGCGCGAGCCCCCAGGGGCGGCTGGAAACCCTGGAGCGATGGTAGGACGGTGGGGACATCGGGCGGGCCGACCCCCGTGGCTCGGATTCCCCGTCACCGCCCTTCCCCAGGTGTCGAGAGGAGTTGCCCGCAGCCATCGAGAAGCACGTGACACGCGACGAGCTGGAGCAGTTGCTGGCGTGGAAACTGGCGGTGAGGAGCTTCCCACGTGGGGGACGGAGCCTTCCGGGGCGGGACGTAGCGCCGTGGGCGTGGCTTCATCCTGGGGGCGGGCCCTCGCGCCTGGGGGCGGGGCCCCTAGCGAGATCCACCAGCCGTGACCCCAGACCCGCCTTGACCACCGAGGGGCCACTTTCGGCCGCGCCTGCAGCAGCTCTTGACCACCAACTCCCCAGAGCTGGTGGTGCAGCGCTCGGCCGCCGCCTTCTGTCCCCTGCCAGACGTGAACGCAGCGGTCACGGAATTGTGCGCCCTCCGGGGCGTGGGCCCGGCTATCACCTCGCGTTAGTAGGGAGAGCTGGGCGTCCCCCCGGCGAGGGCGGAACCTGGCGTGTTAGTGGCCTTATCTGTGAAATGGCCAGATACGTGACACCGAGAGTTGTTGGGAATGGCAGCCCCACGTCGAGGTGGGGCTGAGTGCTGTCCATTTACTTCCCGCGGCAGTCCTGGCTGCCAGAGCTCTCGAGGTAGCAGCCTTCATGTCTGAAGAGGCAGTGGCCGCAGTGCCCGGTCTGCCAGCCTTGCAGTACACCCTGAAGCACTACCTGCTCTACCTGGGCCGGGTGCAGGAGGGTGCCACAGCCCTGAGCCAACGTGCAATCTGTTGGCGGCCAGAGAGGGCATCCAGGACTCTGGTCAGGGTGATGTGCAGAGTTATCCAGCAGGGTAGGGTGACTGGTGCCCCTGAGCCCCAGACTCCCTCTGCCCCACCCCAGGCAGTGCCTCAGGCTGTGGACTCCTCACCGTGTGGAGACAGCACTGTGGATCTGGGCTGTAGGGCAGAAGCTGTGCCCTGACCTGCTGCCTGACCTTGGTCCCAGCCTGGCCACCCTTGAGGACACTAGGCCAGCCAAGAACCACAGGACCCAGGCCTACTGACTTGGCTGTGGCCCAGGGCTTGCACACCTACCTTGTGATCTCAGGGCACAAGTCTTTGGACAGGGGGCTGGCTGCTGTAGGAGCTCAATAAATGCTTGCTGAACTCAAACCTGACTATGAGGCCCATGACTCTCCCCAGGGGCTCCCATCTCCCATACAGAGACACCTCATGCTGGGTACAGAAAAGCAAGGGGGAAGCCCAGGCTGCTGTTTGTGTGGAGGGAAGGGCCCTCACAGTTTGATCAGTGAGTTGGGGGGAGACCAGCCCAGCCCGCAGTGCCCAGTACAGCCACCTGGTGCTGTGTAAAATATTTATTCATTCTCCAAAAAGGCTCAGACTGCAAGTCTCATGGGAGAGGCCAGGGCAGGGTCTCCTCTGGGGCCACCCTTGGGGACCTCCACCACTCAGCCCAGTCCATCAGTCCTATTCCTCCAGGCCTGGGAGGGGGTGGCCAGGGCTGGTGTAAGGCTTGGCCTGCAGTCAGTGGGCCACAGGGGCCACCTGCACCCACCAGGAAGAAGCAGCCTCAAGACATACATTCACAGAGGACGAACATGCAGGCCTCCCTAGTGGCTGGCCCACGGATGCTGCGCCCTGGCTGGTGTGGCCCTGGGAACTCTTGTCAGGGTGGCGGGGGAATGTGGGCACCCAGCAGGTCGTAGGCAAAGATGTTCCAGAAGATGGCGAAGAGCAGGAAGGTGCCATAGGCAAGCAGCACCACCCACCAGCCACACTGGTCTCGCAGGCGTTCCTCATAGCTGCGCAGGATGGTCAGGCCCATGCTGACACCCACCACCGCGCCCGCCAGGTGTGCCATGAAGCTGGGCTGTGGGCCCGAGGCAGGCAGTGGCGGGGAGAAGCGCAGCCACACGGCCCGGCCCACCTCGGAGCTCACTACAGAGGGAGGCAGCAGGTGAGAGGCACCCTAGCCATAGGCTGAGGCCCCTCCACCCTGGCTCCCTACTTACTGCACACCAGGGCCAGCACCATCCTCAGCAGCTTGTAGGGACATCTCATCCCAGCCCAGTTCTGATGGGGTGTGAATAAAAAAGGCTGTGAGGGAGGCCTTATGGGCCCCTCCCCGCACCCCGCCGCAGGGGCTGCCCCGTTACCATGACGACATTGGCCAGGTGTGCAGAGCACAGGGCGTAGACCCCGCCGGAGCCCCCCACCACAGGGGCCCGCATGTCAGTAATGGAGACGGTCAGGGAGCCTGTGTGAGCAAGGGGAGAGCCGTGAGGGTGAGGCCCACCAGTGAGGTGGCCAGGGCGCACACACCTGCCTCACCTGCCAGCACACCAGCCAGGTAGAGCAGGCTGATGCGGAGCAGGCCATGCACCATCTCCAGGGGCACCCCGATCATCAGCTGCAGGAGTGCGTTGAACCCCAGCTGCTCCAGCCTGGCCATATGGGGCAAATAGGTGTGAAGGGTGGGGTCCGCCAGGGGGCTACCAGCCCCCTGCCCCCACCTCGAGAGGCTAAGCCCTCCCGATCCAATCCGAGGGGTGCCAGAGGTGGGCCCACTCACCCAACGTGCATGAACATGTAGGTGAGAAAGCGCCAGGCCCGAGCACGGTGGCCGGGGTGGTATACCAGGGGGCTTTTCATGTACTCAGGGTGGTAGGTCTGCAGCACCCACTTGTTGAGACGGGCCCCGTAGCACAGGAACACGATGATCTGGGAGGGACAAGTGTTGGGGCCAGGCAAGACCAAGGATGAGGGAGGCTCCCGGGGTGGTGGGTGGTGGACGGGCAGGCCCACCTGGGCGAGGGTGACCGAAGCCATAAACACAGGGGGTGGGCAGCTGCGGTGCCGGTAGAAGTACCAGTGGCGGTCCACCTCTCGGGGCAGGATCTCGTAGGCCACGTAGCGCACGAACCGCTTGTAGACACCCAGTCCTGGCTCGTCCAGCAGCCCGTCCTGGGGCAGTGCCCGCTGTCCATTGGCGATGGCCCGCTTGAAGCTGCTTGAGCGCTTGCTGCTGATCTGGGGGGCGGGGCCTAGGCATAGGCCACGATACTCCCCCCATGGCCGCCCCTCCTGAGTGGTCCACCCAGCTTGTCACAGGGTCTGAAGCCCTGCCCCATGGCTATAGCCCTCCCCAATGGGAAAGGCAGGGAGGAGGGGCCACCTGCCCAACCCACGCCAGCCAGGGCACTGCGCCCATACCCCAGCTGCCCACCCACTGTGGCACTGACCAGGTCCACCAGCTCCTGGTAGCAGACCTGGCCCCGCTCGTTGCTCTGGGCCAGGGCCACCAGCATGTCCAGTTTGGCCGGGTCCAGGGGCAGCTCATGGCGGTGCACCAGGCCAGCGAAGGTGTCCGCACCGATGAAGCCAGTGTTTTCAGGGTCCAGCTGCTGGGGTCGGGGAGCCAGCGGCCAAGGTCTGAGGGTGGGCCGGGCCCCAGGACCACAGGGCTGAGCCACGTCAGGCGGGAGAGGCAGGCTCCGAGCACCCTGGGTCCAGGCCCCTGTGCCCACATGGTCCCAGGAGCTAGCTGTAGGCACCGGTACCTAGGTCCCCGGCCTCTAGCTCCGCTAGCTCTCCAGCCGTCTCCCCACCTCATTTCTGCCTTGCCCATCCTGAAAGGGTAGGGCCAAGGTCTGAGGGCAATCACCAACCCTTTTGCCCCTCCCCAAGCGCCCTAGTCTGGCTCGGTCTCGTGCAGGGGACCAAGGTCGTGCAGGGAAGGGGCTGTGCTGAGGGTCTCAGAGCTCCGTCCCCCCGGCCCACCCAAGGGCGGGGGGCCGGCAACGGGGGCGGTGCCGGCGCCCCCCACCTCTCCACGCACCTGCTCCTGGATAAGCTGCAGCAGCGAGCTCCTGTCCATAGAGCCAGGCCGGGCCGGGGGCCGGGGGCCGGGGGCCGGGGTCGGCGGCCGCGGCCGGGAGGGGCTTCTCTGCGGACTACTCCGCTCCGCCCCTGCCCTCCGGCTCCGCCCACTCCGCTCGGCGCCGCGTCACGGAGCCGCCCGCCCCCGCCGCACACGCCGCCGCTGCCAGCCCAGCCACTCGCGGTCAGGACACGCGCGCGACCCGCACGCGGACGTGCCAGGCAAGAACTGCGCGGGGCGCTTGGCTCAAGTGCCGGCGCCCCCGCCCCGCCCCGGGCTGCAGCTGTTCGTCCCGCGGGGCAGCAGCCGGGAAACTGAGTCACGCGCGGCACGCAAGCCCCTTCTGCGCCCACCCTTTTGCCCCGGTCTGGGCCTCAGCGCCGATGCCACCTCCTCGGGGAAGGCTTCAGGGAACAACCCATTGCTGGGGACTCCCCCCACCGGGCTCCCTGAAGGCACCTCCCTCCCTGGCAGACATGCTTGCCCTTCCCGGCAACAGCGGCTCCACGGCCCCAGCGGCGAGCGCTGAAGCCAACTGGGCAACTAGCAGGGTTGAGGGAGGTCCCTGCAGCAGGCCTTGCTCAGTGGGTGGGGACCAACACAACTTGGGCTGAAGGTTCCTGACTACTCCTGTGGCCACAGTGCTAAACTGACCCATGGACATGGGGGTGGGGAGAGCCCCCCAGTGGACAGGACCGCAGCTGGGATGGAGAGGAGCCCTACTTCCCAGGGAGAACAGGTAGACCCCCTACAATAAGGAAGGTGACAGGCTGTGGTAATGTATAACCATAGCAACCCCTGACAGCACCGCTCAGAATGCCTGTGCAGCTGAGCCTCAGGACAGATGCAGCAGCTAGAAGTAGCATCCTGCCCTGCCCAGCTTTAGTAAGAACTGCACCAGGGGTCCTCAGGTCACTGGAACTGGGGGGCCAGCGGGATGGTTGAAACAACTTAAGGGTGTGACCCCCAGCCCCTGTTGGGTCAGGCCTAAGCATCCCCTGCCGAGAAGGCACCTCCCCCGCCTCTAGAAACAGCTTGTCAGGGCTGGGGGAGGGGCCCTGGCCTAAAGGCCTGTCTTGCAAAGAATGACTAATTACAGAAAGTAGAGGGGGTACTTGTCTGGCCAAGGTCCTCCACCCAAGCACACCACATACTGCCTCTGCTCCACGCCCAGAATGCACGCCAGAGTGAGCACCTAAACTCCAAGCTGAGCCCCCTCCTCAGCCCAAGAAAGGTTCTCTGTCCCCTTGTCCTTAGGCTGGAGCTCTGGCTGTCTCCTGCCCAGTGGGAGGGGCAGAGGCCTCTGGGTGGGGTGTGAGAAACAGGGCAGCTCCCCCAGACCAGGGCCACCTCGCACACCAGGACATTTCAGCACATCCCAAAACCCCAGATCCTCAGCACACCTCAGCCAACCTGACAGGATGCTGAGGCTTGGGTAGTGACTACACCTGGCTGTGGGGAGGGGTCACATCAGGGGGGTCCTCAGGTATCAGGCCCCCTCCAGCCTCACTCTCAGGCCAGCATGGATCTCAATGGACCTAAAGGCCCTGAGGCTGCGGCTGGGCCATAATTGGTCCTTATCCTGGCCTGAGACCTCAGGATGGTGACCCAGAGAGGAGGCGAGGGGGTCAGGAGTAACATTCCCAGCCCACACCCAGACCAAAGACACGTTTTAGTTAATTCAAGAAGTCATCCTCAGAAAGCAGGACCCAATATGTAAAAGACACAAGTGAAGTTTAATCAGGAAACCCAATCTCATACGTCTTCTGTGAGAGGCACAGCCCTGGACCTGTCTTCAGATTGGGGGGTGGGGGCGCGCACAATGGTCCAGCCATTTCTTGCCTCCACGCCCCTGCCTTTGGCCCAAAGCTCTGCCCTCTTACCCCCTTCATACCCTCTGGCCACATGGGACCAGGAAGGAGTGGAGCCCTGAGAATTCGGGTCTGGGGTCACTGACTTCCTCACCCACACCTCCCGGTCCCTCCAACACATGATGCCCACAGAAGAGGATCATGCCCGGCACCTGCAGCAAGGCCGGACACAGGCTGCTGGGAGCCAGGGCCACCCTCGGGGCTGAGGCAGGGGTGGGGCAGCAGGTGGACTGTCCTCAGGAGGAAAGTTGAGAGGGTCTCCATCCCCCACCAAGCAAGTGGCCCCACACCAGCACCCTGAGATCAGACTGTGGGGTCTGGGACCTCATCGGCTCTTCACCAAGACCCTGTAGAGTGAGAAGCTGAGAACGGCAGCAACGGCAGCCCCGACGGCCCCCAGCGCCACCCGGAGCCAGAAGGAGGTGGCGTGCAGCTCCCCGTGGACAAGGTGTCTGCAGGAGAGAGGGGAGTCTTGCTGCTGTAACCCCACCTCCGTCTCCTACAAAGTCCCAGAGCCCCACTCAGCTGCTTTGTGTCAGTGCCCAGCATGGCAGTACCCCCAGACTAGAGGGCAGCCTGTCAGGCCAGGCCCCGAGGGCCCCGCCTGAGCATCGGCACAGGCACCAAGGCCCACCCTGCAACCTTGACTGACTCCAGTCCTGACACCACAGCTGTGCCACTCTCCTGGGACAGGGAGGGGTCTCCCACACAGGGGCTTCGATCCTGGTACCCACGGGAAGGCGGCCATTGTGGCGAGCCGGGTGAAGATGGCCGCGCGGGGCTCGGCTGGGCCGGCACAAGAGAACAGGGCGGGGGCGGGCAGCCGGTGCCTACGGCAGAACTCAGTTGGAGACAGACCAGGCAGCAAGACGCCTTCGGGCAAGTCAGCCTTGGAGGAGACGAAGAGGCAGGGGGTCTGCCTGTCCATGTAGTGGCGCTGCAGGGGGAGGGGCCATGTGAGTGTGCTGGGGGACACCTGCCCACAGCCCTGCTATGCAGCAGGGCCCCCAGGGTGGGCGGGACCTTGCCTTGTAGACACTGGCGCACAGCGAGAAGGACCTGGGGTGGCTGCTGTCAAACATCAAGCAGGCGATGTCACAGGTGGCGTCGGCCGAGGCGGTCAGGAGGCTGTCTGCACCCACCTCACACAGCTGAACAGAAAGGGTGGCCTCAGAGGGGCACAGGCTAGGTCTCCCAGGGCCGCGTTGGGCGGCTCCCTCAGCGTGCACGCTCTAGGCCTACCCTGGGGACCCCGCACTCACGATCAGGTACTTCTCCTGCCCGTTGACCTGCACGGTGTCGATGGTGTAGGCAGAGGACTCCCCGGCAGGCTCCCCAGCATCCTGGTGCAGAGGAGGGACGCCCCTGAAGCTCACTGCTTGGACTCTTTCCAGAACCCCTGCCCCTCAGGTCCACGCACGGCACACATGGACACTCACCCCCAGGCCATGGCCAAGGAAAGCCTGCAGGAAGGAGGACTTGCCCACTCCGCGGGCCCCTACCACCTTGCACAGGAAAACGTTTCTCTGCGTTTGTCCCTTCTCCTGGTCCAGCCTCTTCTCCCGGGTGACTGTGGGCAGGGAGCAAGGATGAACGTGAGGGAAGGGCTGCCAGGGAGGCACTGGCTGGGGGCCGGTGTGGAAGCGGGCACCCACCTGTGATGGCGTGGGCCTGGGAATCCTGCTCGCAGAGGGTGGGGAAGCCCAGGTAGCCAAGGTGCTCAAGACAGTGCTGGACGTCCAAGTAGGTCACCAGACTGGGGACGGGAGAAGTGGGGATGTGGTGTTACAGCAGGGCAGAGGGTGAGGCCATGTCTCAGTGGGTGAGGGCTGCACTTACGTCCACTGGCAGAGATACCCGTGCAGAGGCAACCGACCGGCCTCGGTGCGGACTGTGCGAGGGAGCTGGGGGCCCCAGGGAGCAGCAGGAAACACGCTGAAAAGGCTCTGCAGCTCTGCTGGCGAGAGGGCACCATCTCGGTCCTGCGGGCAGAGGAGCTGCGGTGACATGTGCGGGTGGGAGGCCAAGGGGGTCTCAGTGGGGCCCAGCGCCCTCACCTGGTCATGCTTCTCGAACATCCTCTGCACAAACTGGTAGCCGCGGTGGTTGAGCTCGGTGCTGCATCCGGGGGGCACATGGAGCCTGCGGGTGCCGGGATGGGGGTGGGGCTGTGCACACCTCCTTGTGCTCCGCAGGGCACCTCCTCCGAACACAGGCCATCCAGGCAAGCAGAGAGTCCCCCCGCCAGGGAGAGATGCTCCGATGGCCCCCAGCACAGGGTCCAGGAGCCCCAGGCCCCATCCAACACAGATGGGAGGCGAGCCCTGAGCCCAAACGCCACTCACGGTGGGCAGAGGTAGTTGGCCGTCAGCTCAAGCGAGTCGCCATAGCCAAAGCGCCTCAGGATGGTCCACGTGGTCTCGTGGCGGCCTCGCTGGATGAAGAGCGTGTTCAAGAAAAGGAAGCCTGCTCAGGAGAAGCAGAAAAGGGAGTAACACCAGGCACAGCCCGGCCCTGCCCCACACCCCACGCCCGATGTAGGCAGGGTGTCGGGCCTCACCGTCCAGGGTCAGCCGGTCATCCCGCACGCCTCCTGCCACATTCTTGCTCACCACCACCTTCACATCCTCCAGGGCCTGCGGGGCAAGAGGGTGCCCGAAGCAGGACATCTGCTTCCGAGAGAAAGTCGCCGTTAGTCAGCCAGCTGCCCTCTCCATCCGTCACAAGGGCAGCCAAGGCGTGGGGTGTGGCTGCAGCTGGGAGGGTGGGTACCGCCAGGAGACAGAAGGGGGCGCACCTGGAAAGCATTAAGCTCCTGGTCACTGAGCACCTGGTCCATGTCCTGGTCTGAGAGCCTGAAGATGCGTGTAAGGGCCTGGGCGCACTCGGGCATCAGCTGTGGGGACAGCGGCTCAGCACCCCCACCACTCCCTCCTGCTCGCCCTCCCCACCGGTGCCTTCAGCCCACCTGCTTGGCCTCAGGGTCATAGAGGGGGGCCGTGGGGTGTAGCACGGCCTTCTGTGCGTAGTAGAACAGCTCTGAGATGTTTTTCAGGTTCTTCGCCGAGCACTGGGACACGTGGGAACAGACTCAGAGGGGGAGGCAGGCAGGCCCCCTGTCCTCGCCTCTGCAGTCCTGGCACCCCCGGGGCCCTGCCTGCTCACCTCCACACAGGTCTCGATCTCAGGGAACTGGCTCATGATGGGCAGCACAGCCTCCATGGAGCCCCCCGGCCGCAGGTCCGACTTGTTGCCCACCAGGATAATGGGGACCCTGGGGGAGAGACCCACGGTCACCAGGGATCAGGGAGCTGGCGGGGCCCAGCCCCCCTCCCCGAGTCCTGCCTATTACCTGGGCCCCCTCTTGGTATCCCCATTCACCAGCGGGATCCATTTGGTTCGGATCTGAAAGGTAAGACCTGGCCATGAGAATGGAGGCCTGCCCGGCCCACAGCTCCCATGTGGAACTCTCACTTGGCTCGAGGAGAGACGGGGGAGACTGAGGGCCACTGAGAGCCAAAGTCACGGCCACTGGCAACAAGACCAGTGGGGAAGAGCAGCGGGCAGGTAGGACCTCATCTGATCCTAGCAGTTCCCAAACACCCACAAAGGGCCTGAGATCAGCAACTCCTCCTGCAGGCCTAAGAGATTCAGACGCAAGGCCATCCACGCTCTCGGCGGGAGACAGGATCATGGGAACTCGGGGGGAGCTTTGGGGGCCGTGGCCAGGATGGCTCCGTGAAGCTCCCCAGTGGGGCCAGCCACAGGTGCAAGTTGCCCAGAACCCGGGTCAACTGAGCGTCCGCCGTGGTGTGTGCAGAGAACAGGTTGATGACCAGGCTCGGCGCCAGTGACAGAAAGCTAGGATGGACAGAGAGTTCCCTTGCTCACCTTCTCAATAGTGGCCTCCTCAGACACGTCATACACCACGCACACCACGTTTGCCTGTTGGGGGCAGGGAGAGGGACTGTATGGTGGGATCTGAAGCTCCCTGCTCCACTCACAAGCTGGACAGCACAGGGCTCAGAGACTGGGGAGCCCACCCTTCCAGCTGCTCCCAGGCCGAGTCACTGGCTGTTGGCTAGGCACACCTCAGGCCAGCTCTTCCCTACCCACTTCTGCTGCAGATGCCAGGCCCCAATACTGCAGCTCTGGTCAACGAGTCCTCTGAGGGCTCAGGACACAGCCACCCTTAAACTTGACTCCCCAGCCCCAGCCTCAGCCCTTCGCTCCCTGGTCACTACAGGCAACAGCAGACAGAGGACAACAGCACAAGGTAGGGGATGATGGCAACACAGTGGCTGCGGCCTGTACCCTTGCCCAGTGGCACCCCCAGGACACAGCAGATGCTGCAGGGGCAGCACCCCTACCAGGAGCTTGGTCCAAGCACAGGTCTTCCTGTGCAAAGGAGAGCAGAGAGCTAGCTGTGCAGCCCACAGCCCTGGTCATGACACCCGGTGCAGCCCAGAGGCCCAGGACAGTGGGCTGGACTAAGGAGTGGGGAATGGGGGTGCTGGGCACAGAGTTGCCCAAGGGATCACTTTCAAGGACTTGGAGACTGCTCCCCAAGGTCCACCAGAAGAGGGAAGGCTAGGCACGGAGAGCTGTGGGCTGGCCAACCACGCATGCAAGAGGAAGGAATGGGCCTTCCTCCTGGCTCCCAGCAGAGTGCATCACAGGGACCCCAAAGACACTCAGTGCTAACAGGTCACAACAGAATTAGCGAGGCTGCAGACATTCTGGGCACCTTAATCCAATCCCTCAGAGGCTGAAGCCGATCAAGCCAGGGCAGCCATATCCCCAAGGCCTGAGCCCTGCACTCCCTTCCCCAGGACCCACCGTACCTTGTGAATCTCCTCCTGAAGCTCCTCGACTGTCTGCTCAGCCTCTGGGTGGAAAAAGAGACCCTACTGCAGACCTGCCGGAGATGCCCGCTCCTGGGCGCAACCGCGGGCGGGCGGCCCCTCTACCTGAGTAATCCACGATGTGGGTGGGCACCTTCTCTGGGGTGACGTCCGCGGGAATGGTGATCTCTTCTGCCCGGGGAGGGACCTGGGGCAGACGCGGCCGTGAGGACAGCCGGGAAGGGCGGAGGGCGGCGGCGCCCGGACCTGGGCCCTTCTTGGGCGCGGGGGCGCGCTCGGCCTTACCTCCTCGGGAAACTCCTCGCCCACCAGCGACAAGATCAGCGACGTCTTCCCCACCTGGGCTGCGCGGGGCGGCGCGGTCAGCGCGGCGGCCAAGGTCGCGGCGCCTCTCCCCACCCCGGCCCCAAGATCCCCGACCAGGCTCGACCCCCGCCTGACCCAGGCCCAGGCGCCTACATACCCTCGCCAAGCAGCAGGATGCGCACGTCCCGCTTCATGCTGGCCGCCGGGAGCTGCAGTCCGACCCCAGTGCAGGCCCGGCCCCCGCCCACAACCCCGACCCGCGCTGTAGCTGCGCCCGCACTTCCGGCCCCCGCCCGCGCAGCCTCCCTAGCGAGGCCGGCGGGCCAGACCGGCCTAGCTGCCCGGCGGCGCCACCGCGTGGGCACGCCGGGCACTGCCAGCGCCGCGCCGGCCAGGGGGGCGGGGCCTTTGCCCAGTGCCGCCCCGCCCCCGCAGCTCATGCAGGGGTCAGGATCCCTGGCAGGGAGCAGGAGGTCTGGAGGTTGGGCAGAAACTGAGCTCAGGCAGTCTGGAGTGACCAGGAGACAATGCCTCAGTGCAACACCCACATTTATTTGAACTGTACAAGGTAGAAACAAAAGCCCAAAGGAAAAGAAGCAATAAGCACTTCATACATGTTCAAGGTCTTGATGATTTGCACACACTCCTGGGCAGCCGGGTGTGGAGGGGTGAAGCCCACCCAGCCATCCTGGCCCAGCACAAGGCCCCCGGCCAACCCAGCTTCTCAGCTGAGCCTCTGCCCAGGCCAGGTGCCCGTTTGACCAGCAGGGCAACACCTGACCCCACACTCCCCACTGGGGGTCAGTGGCCTGTGACTTCCCACACCAGTATCTCATTGTGGGCCGCCGTGAAGAGCAGCCGAGCAGATGGGGCAAACCTGCACAGCTGCACCGAGTCATCATGGCCAGCAAAGTCCTGCACGGCCCCCGACGCACAGTCCACCAGCCTCAGCACACGCTCTGCTGGCGGACAGCATCGTGTGGGCTGGGACAGTTAGGGTGCCGTGGGCCCTGTGCCTGTGTCTGTATAGTTCCAGGACCCAGGGTTCCTCCAACCCACCCTGGCTCTGTCTCCAGCTGGGGCCAGTGCCTCATTGGGGGAACCTGGCCCCCCACCCCCCTCATTTCCTGACCCTACCCGAAAGACTCCCCTGGAGCAGGTGTCCTCACCCCACTTTCAGGGACGAGGGGTACGGCTCAGTGTGGGGGCACAGGTGTACCCACTGGGCCTCACTCAAGACACCAGCACTCACCAGAGAAGCCAATGGCCATAAGGTGGGCCCCAGGGGACAGGCTCATGGACACAGCAAAGAAAGGCAGTGGGATCTTCTTCATCACCTGCAGACAGCAAGCGTGAGGCACTGGGCGGGGGTTCCCGTGGCCCCGAGACCTGTCCCTCCCCAGCCCCGGGTCCCTCAGGCTCCCAGAACCACATGGAGGGGTGCATGTGCCTGCTTCTGGCAGAGGCTGTAGAAGACGACCTCATGGTGCATGCTGAGGCCCGCACACACCAGCAGCGCCTCATCCCAGGGGCAGAAGGCGGCGAGGGAGGGTGGCGGGCAGATTGGAACCTGTGGAGGGCACAGCACATTGTGGCAGGGTGGGGGGGCACCCCACCCGCAGGGCCACCAGGACTCTTACCTCCGTGAGGGCGGGCGCTGGGAAGCTCAGCCAGTCCACGAGCTCACAGCGGTCCTGCAGCCAGTTGGAGGCCCAAACGCTGACCTGCTGGTCCCCGCTGGCAGCCAGCCACAGGTCCACACCCTCTGCCCCGAAGTCTCCATACTGGGGACATAAAGGCTGGTAGGTGTCGTCTGCCCTGCTCTCCCATCCCCTTCCCTGCCAGCACCCTCGGCTCAGGCCAGGCCCTGCAGGCTCACAAGGCTACTTCACCTCTCTTCTCGTGCTCTGGATGGTGCAGATCGGGGCTCCCCGATGGTCATTCAGCACACGGAAGGTCATCCCCGTGCGAGGGCGACTCACAGCCACGAGCCCATCCCTGTCTCCGGAGAGGATGGTCTGACCTGGGCGAGGCAGAGACCAAGCTGTTACTCGTGAGCCCCTAGCCCTCAGCCCAAAGGTGTGACCTGGGCCAGGCAGAAGCCGTGCTGTCACCGTGAGCCCGGCCTCACCATCAGCAGAGAAGGCGATGGCCGTCAGTGCAGCCGAGTGGGGATGCATCTTGAGCTCCATCGCTATGAGGGGGATGCTGAAGAGCCGCAGCGTGCCGTCACTGTAGCCCGCTGCCACCCACTGCTGCTCTGGGCGTTCGCAGGATGGGGGGCTCCAAGACAGGCAGAGGCAGCTCTGGGGACCCACGGTAGGAAAACATTAGCACTCCCCTGGGGAGAGGGGAAGGGGCCCAGGCCCAAGGCCACAGACAGACACCAAGGCTGGACGGAGGACGAGGCTGCCGGAGTCCCGGGCGTGCACCCCAGCCCCAGGCGCCCCCCAAGTACCTGGCTGAGCACCTGGAACTGGATCAGCAGCTCCATGCTGGCCACGCTCCACACCCTCACGCTCCCATCGTCACTGCACGTGGCACAGTGGGACTCGCTGGGGCTGAAGACCACCTCGTTCACCTGTGAGGAGTCACCACCCTACCTGAGGCCCATGGCCCTCAAGCAGAGAGGGAACACAGCATGGCCAGGTCATTCATGAGAGCATCCATCTCCCCCTTGAGCCTACCTGGCCCCGGCCCACCATGTGGCACAAAGAAACTGTCCTGACCGACCTCCCTCCCAAGTGTCCCCACACTAGACCTGGGTGGAATCCAAATTGCAAGAAGCCCACCAGTCAGTTGAACTTGACCATCCACTTGCTAGGACGTCACAGAAGGAACTGTCCTGACAGAACCTAGAACACGGGACTCCCAGGGGGGCCACTCCTGGGCCTCATCACAGCAGGGGGGGTGGGGCTGAGATTGTCATGTGTGTGTGTGTCATGTGTATCAAGGGAGAAAGCAGTTGTATGATTACACAGAGTCAGGATCTCTGGTGTAAAAAAAAGGAGACAGAAAAAAAAATTAAAATAAAAATTAAAAAATTAAAAAAAGGAGACAGGCCGTGCACCAATGAGGTAAAACAAAATATCCGAGTCCTGAATGTGAATTTCAAGCATTAAGTATAAACTCCTGATGCATTTTATCTTAGAAAAATAATAATTTAGGTCTGTTTGGCTGAGAAGTGATGGGCCCCTCTGGGCCTCAGACCATGACCTCTAAGCCCATTTCCCACTGGAGGGGCCCACAGGCTCTGGAACAGCCAAGTCCGGTCTCGGGCGGAGCTGCAGAGGGAGAGGCTGGAGCACCTGTGGTCCACAGAAGAGGGGGACCACCAGTGACCACCAGCTCAGGTCAAGAACTCAGCACCCTCGAGCTCATGCCCTGGTGGGTGGATAAACTCATCCTATCTGTACCACAGAAGCATATTTAGCAGTAAATAGGAGTGAAGCACTGACGCTCGCTACAACTCAGATGGACCTTGAAAACACGATGCTCAGTAAGAGAAGCAGATTAGAAAACACCACAGAGTGTGTTTCTGTTCACAGGGACCATCCAGAACAGGCAAACCGACAGAGACAGAGTCTGTGAGCACCTGCCAGGGGCTGGGTGGTGAGTGTTTAATGGCTGGGGGGTTTCCTTCTGGGATGAAAGTGACTGCGGTGTTGCACAGCTCTGCAAATGTTTCAAAATCCATTGATGTTACATGGGTGTGTGGCCCACAGATTATACCTCGACATAAAGCCATTACCAAAGAAAAAGGAAACATGTAACCCTCACTACCTCACACAAGAGTTTCTTTGTTGGCTACTGTTACGCCTGAACAAATGAACGTAGAATTTTTTTAAAAAGACTCAGGAGCCAACTTGAAGACCCTGCCACCAGCCAAGGCCAGGACTCCACGAGCATCAAGAGAAAGTGACGGTGGGGAAGCCAGACCCACATTTCCACCCACCAGCCCTTAATAGCTCTCAGAAAGTAACACATTGACTGCTGCTGGGGGGCCTGGTCCACGAGGGACCTGTGCCCTGTCCCAGCCCCGGGAAACCTGAGAGCTCTCGAGGCCACTTCCCTTCTGAAAGAACGAGGGATCTGACTACTGCCACCTGCAACTCCTGCCGCCAGACAAGGGCATCACTGGTGGGAGACACAACGCTCCCAGAAGGAAGTAACGTTGGGACTGGCTGGCCCTGACTAGACCCTGGCCCGGCTTCCAGACCCCTCGGACCCCAGGGAAGCATGTCCAACAACGGTGGTGAAAGACTCCAGGGTGGATGACCAGTTTTCTTCAACACGTAAATTACAAGAGAATAAAGTGGCGGAAAAGAGGAAGGGTCAAGAAGGCCACAGGGCCTGGGGCTGCTGCACGTGGACACGGCATGGACCCCATGCCCACGGGGAGGGGTGCGTGGTTCCAGGGGTGCAGCTGGTCCTGGGAACGCCTGGACACTCGCAGCTGCACTTGGGCTGGGAGCACCCAGGGGGGCGGGGACGGAGGGAGTGCACGGCAACTGACCGGCTTGTGCGGGCTGGGATCCCCTCAGAAATCCTCAGCGGCAAGCCGGTGGCCCAGCGGCCTCACCTTGCTCTGGTGGCCGCTGACGAGGCGGGTGCTTGTGCCCTCAGCCCAGCTGACGTACCAGAGCGTGCCCGCCGTGGTGCCCACCACACCCATGTCCATGCTTTCGTGGAAGACTGCACTCACGACGGCCCCGTCAAGGGTCAGCTCACGCTCCATAAACACAGAGCTAGACCTGGAAGAGCAGGGGGTCAAAGGGGTGGCAGCAGCGAGAGCCGAGGGAGCCAGGTGGTTTGGCCCACGGGCCCTGGCCTTGCCCGAGCATGTCCCCTGGGGGACGGGCCCAGCTGGCAACAGAGTGCCAGCTCCCAGACACACTGTAGACGCTCACCTGGCCCCGGAGCCCTTGCGCCTCAGCTCTGGTACGGCCCCCACGGCCCATAGGCGCAGCCGCCTGGTGTTGCTGCCACTGACCAGACGCGCGCCCGAGCACAGCAGCACTCCTGGGGGACAGGAGATGCCGTGAGCCACGTCCCCAGATGCCTGGGACTCAAGACGGTGTCCACCGCCCCAGCACTGGGACTCCCAGGGAGAACTGAGCCCCAAGCTGTCAAGGGCCACGGAGGCTCCGTCAGACACCCACCGATCTCACCGTCGTCCGCCTCCCAGGCCAGGAAGCAGCAGCTGGCACACATGTCCCAAACACACACCTGGCCAGCATTGGAGCCGCAGTAGAGCAGGGGTGTGGTCCCGTAGCAGAGCGAGGTCAGCTCCCACCCCCCCACCTCCTCAGGGATGGGCTCTCGGTGGACCTGGAGGGACACGAGCACAGTGTGGGTCAGCGATGCCCTGGGGTCCAGCCAGACCCCATCCTCCAAAGCCTCCTCTGAACCCTGGCACCTGGAGGCTGACATCGCCCCCATGCTGCTGCAGAAGCCACAGGGTGACGGCACCCTGGCCCACGCAGGCGAGCTCGCCAGCGTCCCAGGGGTTGAAGGCCATGCCGTATACTGGCTCTGGGAGGCACGTGGAGGACACAAGCTCGTAGGTGGCCATGCTCCACAGGGCCAGGGTGCGGTCGCCATAGTCCCCTGGGGGAGATGCAGAGTGACCACGTCAGCTGCCCAGGGTTCCCAGGACAGGCAGGGGAGTCCAGAGACCACTGTCCTCCGCCCCCGCCCTGCTGACCCAGAGTGACGAGGAGTCTGTCGTCTGGTGAGAAAGCCAGGGCCTGAACAGCAGTGTCGTGGTGAGAAAGGAGCTGCCGACAGGAGCCCCCTGGCACGTCCCAGACACGGATCTGGCAGCGGGAGGCAGTGCTGCTTCGGCCTGAGGCAGAGGCCAGCACCTGGCGGGCAGGCAGGTGGGTGGTCAGCAGGGAGGGTGCAGTCCACGGGCCCGTTCCCGCTCTGTGTAAAGGGCTGCTCTGGAAGCGAGAGCCAGCTGCACGCAGTTCAAGGAGCCAAGCTCCGAGGCACACCTTGGCCCTGGGCATTCAAGGCAGGCTGCAGGACAGGCACCTGGGCATCGTGGCTGAGGGCCAGCGTGGAGATCTCCTCAGGGTGGCCAAGCCAGTGCTGCTGGACACCAGAGTGCAGGTCCTCCACCACCACCAGGCGACCACACGTGTAGGCGAAGAAGCCTGTGGGCAGGGAGGAAGCGCCCGCCCCGTCAGCCCCACAGCCCCAGGCACTCGTGCCCACACCCCCCAACCCCACCCCAAGGAGAACTCCTGCTCACAGCAGGAAGTGCCACCAGGAGAACACGCCCGTCCTGCAGCCCAAACCACCTGCGGGCCCCTCCATGGGGCCTGGCCTAGGGGTGGACAGAACTGAGCCCACCCTGCAGCGTCTGGGCCATGGCCCCCACCTGTGTCTGGCCTCCAGACCAGGTTGGCGCGCCCGTTCCCGTTGTAACCCATGACGGCCTTCAGGTGCAGCCGCTCATCGCCGACGGCAGGGAAGGAGAGGCCCTGTGAGGAAGTGGACCCAGGACGCTGGCACCGGCCCACCTGGCCCAGGCCCCCAACCTCAAGCTCTGCCCATCAGGCCGGGCGTGGGACTGAGCCTTGGGAGATGCATGCTCCTGGGAGGAGGCAAACGGCAGGTACGTGGGCACCAAAGTCTGCACGCGGTGGCCAGCGGGGCTGGGAGCCTGGCATGCAGCATGCAGACAGGGAGGCAGGAGGAGGAGACGGGGAGGCGCCTGCCAGGGGGGAAGTGAAGGGGAGCCAGGACCATGGAGTGAAGTGAGTGTGTGGGCTTAGCAGGACACGCCTGGGTCCAGTCACTGCGTGACAGTGAGAACCTAAACCAGTCCGGTGAGAGCATGGGGCTCAGGGCAGAGGGGTGACCCGTGGGGCGAGTGCCAGCAAGGCCTGGGCTGCTGTCAGCTCTGGGAGCTGCCCCAGGGAAACCCCAGGGAGCCTGTGTCTACCAGGGAGCAGGAGTACCCCAGACACCACAGGGCCATGCCACCTGGACCCCTGGGCTTCCAGGATATCCACTGGTGGCAGGGCCTATGAGGATGCCCTACCCAGCCAACCTTGGGCAGCAGGGAGGCCTTGTAGCGAGCTGTGAAATGCCGATAGGAGTCCGGGCGAGTGGGGGGCTGGGCCCTGGCTCTTCCAGTGCTGCAGGTACCTGTCAGGGAAGGGAATGAGGCTGTGAACCCCCAGGGACCACACAGTGACCCTCCTTGCAGGCACCCTGCCCTGGCTGGTCAGACGCTTGGGTTCAAAGGGTACAGATGAGCCACGTCCCATCACCCACCTGGCCCAGCAGGGGCCTTGGGCTCTCCATTTGTCCTGTAGGTGACCATCCCTTGTCTGCCAGGGGCAGCCAGGTCTGTCCTTAGGCCACCTGGAGTCCACGTGGTACATGCACCTGGGCCCTGGTCCAGTTATGAGTGACCCTGCCCCACCCTGCTGCCCCTCCCCTGCTTACTGGGCCAACCACGGGGGTTGGGAGGCCTGCCAAGGTCCCAGGGGCCCCCCATGGCCCCCCAGGCCCCATCACCGGCCCTGCCAGCCTCCTTCTGCACCAGCACAGGTGGGCCTGAGGCCTGGCGGAGACCCTCAGGGCCACGGCTCTCATCTGACATGGAGAAAGCGCCTGAGGAGGGTGGGGAGACAGTGAGACGAGGGAGCAGAGCACCCCCATGCCCTTGCCCCTCCCCCAGGCCAGGAGCAACAAAGCATGTCAGGATGGGAGCCAGGAACACATCCCCTCCAGGCCCTCCTAGGACCCCTGCCCTCACCATCATGGTCCTTGGGGGGCCTGGCACAGATGTCCAGCCAGGGTGGGGACGCCTGGGATGGCATGGGCACCTGCTGCCGGGGAAGCCCATTGGCCCCGGACACCACGTCCTCCAGCTGTCTTGTACCCAGGCCTGAGGACGGAAGGAGCTCAGCTGAGCTCAGGGCCTGGGGAGGGCAGAGCAGGAGGCGTGCCCAGCCCCTCACGGCCAACCAGCTCTGCATCGGGACCCTCAGGAAAAGAACAGTGCTGTGCACCTACAGCGGTTACAGCGCCAGCACCAGACATCACCATGGAGACTGCCAGTGTGGTGGGACCACTCACCAGCTTCGCAGGTTGTGGGGGCCCCGGGAGAGCCTTGGACACTGCAGAGGTGACAAGAGAGATGGTCGGGTGGGGCGAAGGGGTGCAGAGGAAGGCCTGGCAGATGCATGTCGAGGGCAGGAACTTGCCTTCCTGGAGGGAACTTCTCAGAGGGCGCCAAAACGTCCCATAGAAAGATGGCGTCTCCCACACTAAGGAGCTGCTGCTGGTCGGGGGTGAAAGCCACGGCCCGCACAGGTTCTGAGTGGCCGATGTACACCTGAGGGCAGCAGTGTGGCAACATAGAGACCACTGAGGCACAGCTGGAGACACCTGGCCACCAGACTGCAGACTGACCAAGAGGACCTCGTGCAGTATCAGGCCCCAGCAGGCACGGGGTAACTTCAGGGACTGTCCTCCACCCTCCTTCTTACCCGCTGTGCACCCGCCCAGGGCACACACCTGGCAGCCAGGGCCAGCCTGTGCTGAGTAGTCCCACACCTTGATGGCCCGGTCAGCGGCTGTGAGCAGAAAACGGCCATCCCCGCTGAGAGCTAGGACAGAGCAGGCCGCAGGGGGGACACAGGACAGCTGGGAGAGAGAGGGATTGCTGAGGGAAAAAGTCAGAGCACACAGGACCACCAGTTGGGGGAGCCCCCTTCTCACAGAACACAACCTCTAGGGAGCAGCAAGCAGCCCTGGGCCTCCCCTCCTCTGGGCACTGCGGGCAGCAAGGCCGGAGCCGGGAAGGCAGGGGAGGCCAGGCCACCAGCCGCAGTCTTGGGCTCACCTCCCGGACCAAGCGGCCCGACGTGGCATCTAGCACTGCAACCATGTTAGAGGACGTGGACACCAGCAAGTGGCCAGGGGGTGCAGGGCCAAAGCAGACGGCCACAGCTGAGTCCAGGCAGCTGCCAGCCAGGTCCAGAGTCCTGATGTCAACCCTCAGCAGCTGAGGGAGAGCAGCAAGTGTCCTCACCATGACCTCCGGCCAGAGCTCGAGCCCCCAGAGCTGGGGCCCGGGCCGTGGGCGGCCTTGGGCACCCATCCGGCAGGCTGCCCACAGCTCACATGTCCTCTGTGCCATGAGGGGCGCAGGGCCCAGGTCCTTTCTGAAATGAGCATGGCCTCCCACCCAGGGAAACACGCAGCTGCCAGGGTCAGGGTGCCCACAGGGTCTGTGGGCCAAACTGGCGTGACTCCACCCTCACTGCACACAGGGAGGGTTCCAGTTGACTCACCTCATCCAGTGAGGCTGTGTCCATGACAGTCACTGTGTACTTGGACGGACCCACAAAGGCCAGCAGGTGGCTGTCCCCACTGACCACCAGGGCACTGGGGCTCGGGCAAGCCTCCTGGCACACCACGTTAGCTGCCGGCATATGGGGACAGGCAGTCAGCTGGGTCAGGGTAGGGGTGGGGCACCAGAACAGACACTGGTCAGAGACCTACTGTTGCGGGCTGGGCAGGGCAGATCCCACAGCAGCCAGCCCATGGGGCCTAGATGTGAGAGCACCAAGACACCAGTGGGCACCACGGACTGCCAGGAAATCTGGGGGTTCTCCGAGTGACCACCAAGTGACCATCTGGCTGGCCCGAGTTACAGTGGCCATGGGAGGGGGCTGACTCCCCTGCTGGCCTGGTGCTCAGGCTTCAGGTACTCACTTCCTCCTGGGGAAGGGTGGGCACAGACTCTCACTGACCTTCAATCTCGGGGGGCTGGTGAGTCCTAAAACCACACTTGGCTCTGGGGATCTCAATAGTGCGACTGTAGAACGCAGTACCACAGTCGGGGGCGACACGTACCCCCACCCCTGCAGGGACCTGACCAGGGGATGGCTGGGAGGCCAGAGTGGGGCTGGGGCTGGGCCTGGGGGCCTGACCTGTCACACGAAGGATGCGGCACTGGGGCGCGCTGCTATGGTACTGGGCCAGGGAGCCCCGAGAGCAGGAGCTGAACAGGAGGCTGCCGTCGGGGCTGGCGGCCAGGCCGGTGATGGCTCCGCGGTGACACCTGCACACACGAGACGCCGTTGGCTTGCCCCTGAGCTGCACCGTCCCAGACCTCCTGCAGAATCCCGGAGGGGCAGCAGAGGGCGGGGCTTCCAGTAGACGGCCCTCTCCCATACTACCCGATCTCCCACACTCCCCAGGGGACCCACAAACCACTGGAGCTTCCACCTCGATCGTCTGTGGGGCCAGAGCCGGCTGACCACCCACCTGTGCTCCACTAGGACCTCGGTGGTCTCCAGGCTGAAGGAACGGACGGCCCCGCTGCTAAAGCCACAGAAGAAGGTGGGCTGGGTAGGGTGGAAGGCAACAGCACACGGGGCCTCCTCCGGAGACGCGAAGTCGTACAGCTGGAGGACAGGGCCACGTGAGGGCGGACAGGCTGGGGCAACCAGCTGGCCACAAGGCCCGAGAGCCAGTCTCTCTCCAAGTGCCTTGAACCTTCAGGCCCCAAACACAGGCAGAAGAACTCAGGGCCCCACCCACCGGGCCTCAGTATGGCCTGCGGCCCTCCAGTCCCTCCCTCCTGGCTGGCTTCCCTCCGGCCACACCCCACCTGCTGCAGGGTCGCTAGGTCCCAGATGCGGACAGTGTGGTCCTGGGACACAGTGGCCAGCTGTCCCCGGCTGCTCTCAGTGGCAAGGGCCAGCACCGGGGCGGCGTGGGAGCGCACCAGCACGCTGTACTCCCGGGACAGGATGTCCAGGAAACCCAGGTGGCCCGAGGAGGTGGTGGACAGCACACGCAGGCCGTCAGGGCTGACGCAGACGGAGCTGATGGGGCCCTCATGCTCTGCAGGCAGGGTGGGTTGGTGATCGCCCAGGCCTGTAGTGGGGTGGGCCCGGAACCTGGGCCAACTGGGGCAGGCTGACCATATCCATGCTGTGCCTGTGCCCAGCCCCTCTGCCCAGGACACTGAGAAATGCACTTCCCTGCTGCCTGGAGCCCCATCTCCCTGTGAGCTACAACAGGTGCCTCCCCTGTGACCACCCACCCCTGGGCTCAGCAATGGTGGACCCCAGCTCAGGACACAGCCCCTTGGAGCCCCATGACTGCCGTCCAGCCCGGGGACACGGCCCTCCTGCGGCAACCCTGGTGGCAAGGTGATGTCGAGGCCCCACCTGCCTCCAAGAGCACAGAAGAGAAGTCCAGGGGCCAGAGGCGCAGGTAGCCGTCCTCGGAGCCCATGGCACACTTGGCCTGGGAGATGCTGAGGCTGCTGATGGCGATGCCGGGGCCTGGGTAGGGGGAGGCACGGTCAGCCCAAAGCGTCAGGGCCGCTCCTCCCAACACAGCAGGGCCCACCTACCTGAACTGAAGGTCTGCTTCTGTGGGAGGGGGCCACCAGGGGTCTGTGTAGGCAGGAGGCGGCGAGCGCACCGCACAGCCATGCGCTGGTGGTCAATCTCCAGGATGTGGCCGCTGCGGCTGCAGACGTAGCTGCTCAGAGAGGCAGAAGTAACAAGTGAAGGCGGAGGGACCGAGGAGCGGGGCAAGGAATGGGCGGGCCCTGGCCATTAGGGGAGGGAGGGTGGGGCTCACAGTATATGGCCGTCCTGGGCCTGCCTGAAGGCCAGGTCAGTGAACTCCAGCGCGTGGTGCTCCCCCAGGTCCACAGGGCAGGAGCGCAGCCCCCCACCTCGCAGCCGCCACAGCCGCACGCTGCCCCGCCCGCACGATGCCATCCTGTGAGGGGTAGGAGGTGAGCCAGGGAGGAGGGGCCAGCTCACAACTCGCTGGTCCCAGCACGGAGGATGGGCAGGCGGGCAGCCAATCACCTGGTTTCATCGAAAAAGGCCACCTCGAATGCCTGGATATCAACGTCGCTGTGCACCTTCGTGAGGATGACGGACTCTCCGCCTCGCCCCACCTGGGCCGTGCCCCACACCACCACAGTCTGCAACAAGTCCACGCTGAGCACCCACCACCCGCCTGGGCTCTCCCACAGAAGCAGGCGCGTTGGGCTGCAGGGGGTGGGAAAGTTGGCCCCTGCGGCCCGGAGGAACCTACATGTGCCCACCCGGGGTTTCCACAGACATATGTATGCAGAAAGGAACAGGAGACACAACCACGAGTGGAGGAGAGACCCCGGGTGAAACACCCAACTTCAGAGATGCTGTCATGTTAAACACGCCCAGCTCAGGCGTGGGGGACTTGCCACTGAAGAGGGTGAGGCCGGTCGAGGCCGGTCAGTCAAAGGTCAGCTCCATCCACGAGGGAGTGAAACAGACACTCTGGCAAGTATGGCGCAGTGGTGCCCGGCGGGGCTGGGGGAGGCCTGCGGGGGACCCTTGCTGCCTGCCTGCACCCCAGGATGGGCTGCCCCACCTCCCCCGGCCTGGCCTGCTTACCATCCGCCCGTGGCGGTCCTTGCCGACACCACAAAGCACCTCCCCACTGTCAGAGAAGCTGCAGATGGAGAGGTGGAGGTCAGTGTTGCAGGCGCAGCCCCCACCCCCCTCGGAGACCCTGCACCCACCTGAGGGAGCAGACGGTGTGGACTGGGCTTTGGAAGAGGGACAGGCACTCCCCGGTCTGGAAGTCCCAGAGACGCAGCATGCTGTGGGGCCGTGCCTGGGCTGAGGCCAGCAGGGAACCGCTCCCGTCCAGCGCCAGGGCAGAGACCTGGGGGGCAGCAGGGTGAGGGAGGGTGTGTGCCTGCAGAACAAGCCACCCCTGGGCCAGGGTGCCCACCTTGTCTGTGTGGCCAAGGAAAAGACGCTGCTCCCGGGTGTTGACACACAGGACGACGATGATCGCATGGCAAGGGTACACGACGGCGGCCCCATCCCGGGTCCACAGGGCCTGTGCACAGGGGCCGGAGGCTGAGGTCACAGGCTGGTCGGCTTCGTCCCCCCACCCCAGCACTCCGCCGAGCCCCACACACAGGAGTCAATGGGATGCATGTGCCAAAAGAACAGAAAGAGCTCGGGTGCACGTGCGCAAAGGCAGGGCTTCCTCTAAGCCCTGTCCGCAACACAAGAAACTTTGGGATTCAGGTGACAAAAGGCCAGAGAGCCCACAAAGACTCGGAGTTCGTGTCCTGGAAGGCCTGGCGAGCACACAGCCTCCTCTCCTGCTGCTGTTCCTGCAGGGTCCCACAAGTCTCGCCCATACCCGGCCCCACTCGGCTGGACAACACGCATCAAAGCTTTAAAGGGTGAGCAAAGGCTCTCAGGTCTCTGGAAGCTTGAGCGATCGGACCAGCACCGACCCGGCTGGTGTTCACGACACAAAGGGACGCCTGCGACGGGATGTCATCACGTCAAGGAAGCACCGAGCGTGTGAGGATGCGGGCAGGGCTGGGCATCCGCAGCGGTGAAGGGACCCGACGCCTGGGGGAGCTCGGCTGTCCACACAGCCACCTCAAGGAAACACGGGGTGTGCCCACTGTCCCCTCTGTGTATCTGACACTTGCACGACCCAGCAAGAACAGAGTCGGACCCCTCACCCATTTGGTGCTGTGACCCCCAAAGCCGATGACCCCCTTGAGCCTCAGGACCGGATCCGGGAGGAAGCTCTGAAATAGGCAAACTCACAGTGAGACCCCGAAGTGGCGAGGCTCCTGTCCCACCAAGGCTGCCCCACCCAGAGCTGGTGCCTGCCTCCCAAGAAAGCCACCTGGTTCTAGTGCCTTCTGCCAGCTGCTCTATGGCAGGAAACCAGAATTCCAATCATATTGCTAGACCCTCCAGGTACCCCAGTCCTGCGCCTGCCTGGAGCCTAAGCCCGCCCCCCACCAAACCACTGGGGCTGGGGTCAGGGCACCAGCCCCCTCCTTACTCTTTGTTGAAAACGATTCTTGCCCAAAGCCACCTCCTGTTGGTTCTGCTTTCTGCCAGGAGACTAGATGGGAAGAGACCATCTGCCCCACGCATGTTCCCAGTGGACAGAGGCCCAGCAGCCCTCCACCCACACCTCGTCCACATCCCACCCCCCTCGGCGGCACAGTCCAGCCCCACCTTCCTTGGGAAAAGCACTCACCTCTTGTGGGGATGCATCCTCTGGGGCCGTGGGCTCCACAGTCGTCTGATGCACAGACACGTGAAGGCTGTCACTGGCCACGTGCTTGTCAGTGGCCTCCACCCAGGCCAAGGGCTCCTGGCTACGGCCACTGGGGCCACCCACACTAGAGACCTTGGAGCGCTCACAGGACACACTGACTTCTGGAAGGGGCCTGGGCACAGAGGGGGCCTGGCGGGACTTCGGGAGGACAAGTGCCTGTTAGCACTCTGTGGCCACCACCCTCAGCCCCATCTCCAAGGGCACAGGGCACTCACGGCTGTGGGGCCACGCTTCTGGACCATGAGGGCCAGGCTGTCCTGAACAGGCTTGCTGAAGTCCGCTGGGTGAGGAAGAAGCCGCAGCATAGGCCCCGCTAAGATTGCAATTGAGAAGAACCCACTGAGCAGAGTGCAGACAAGCCTGTGAGAACGTGGCCACAAGGCACTGGGCAGGGGTCAGCAGTGGGCCCTGACCTTGCCCACTATGCAGGAGGGAAGCCACAACAACAGCTGTAGCCTACCCTCCCGTGGGCCCCGGCACCCCTTCCCAGTTGGAAAGCTTGAAGCCACCCGGCACTCTAGTCGGAACCTCCCACACTGGGTCTGGGGCCTCGAGACAGCCTCCCCTCACCCTTGCAGGCATCATGCTGCTGCATTCACCTCCCCAGATGCAGCATCAGGCCCCCCTCTCCCGCCGAGCTCCATGGGCCCTTCAGGCCTGAAGCTGGGTCACCGCTGGTCCCACAGGCCCACCTGCCTCAGAAGGCGAACAGCTCTTCTGAACTGCCTCGGAGGGTGTTTTTGAGCTGTCGCTTGGAAACCTTGACGGGGTGGAAGGACAGTCAGCTTCCAAGGGCGGCCCTGCCGTCCCTCCACCCGGCCGCCCTCATGACAGGCAGAGCTGCTCACCGGATGTGGACATAGTGGTCGTGCCAGCTCTCCCCTTTCGGCACCGGGAATGCCATTTCTCGAGGTATGGGGGTGATGGGCAGTTTTGCACACCGGGCTTCAGCGACAGTGACAGCTACGAAGAGCAGAGTCCAAGGAAGCCCACCCAGCTCCCTCTCCCAGCCCAGACAAGACAACACCAGGTGCCAGCCAGCAGGGCACTGCCTGGCCACGAGCCCAGCCACCCTCTCCCCCAGTGGCTGCCTTGGGAGCTGGGAGGCTCAAAGATGGTACAGCATGGGCATTTTCACCAAGTGCCAGGGAGGGTGTGGAGGCCAGCACACAGGGAGTTAGAGCAGGTGGGCTGCAGGCTAAGCACACCTTTAGCCCTCACCAGGATCGAAGCATAGGTCGCTGGTGTAGAGGTTCCTGACCAGCAGGCTAGCACACAGCCTGATGCTCTTGAGGTGACTGTACCGTCGGTTCAGGTAGACCAGCAAAATGTCGTGCAGGTCGAGCTGCAGGCAGGTCCAGCGGGCACCAGGAGAGCCCACACCTGCCAGGTGTGCAGGACAGGAGCAAAGGTCAGAGCCTACCCTCACCAACTGGCCCACAGCACTCTCTGTCCTCGGCCTGTCCCCACTCTCATGGCCACAGCCACATGCCCCTCCACCCAGGCTGTCCCTGGCCTGCCTCCCCGCTGAGCCTTCTGGCTGCCTGCCTCTCCCAGACCATCTGTGACCCGTTCACACCTCATCTGCATGTTACCTTTCCTGGGTGTCCCAGTCTCACAGATGAAAGGGAACTGAAGCCATGTGGCTGTGGACTTGAACTCCTTGAAGAAGTTGGAGAATGACACTCGGATGACCTGGCTGCCCTGTGGGCATACAGCATGGGCGTGAGGAGAGGAGACTGCAGCATGAGTGCAGGGCCCCCACCGGCAGCTCCCGCTCTCCAGCTTGTAACCTCGGTACACAGGTCCAGGTGAATGACAAAATGCTTGGCGGGCAGGGGCCGAAAGAGCACGTACAGGTAGCGTCCGGTCAGCCCCAGGGACTGGGTGCTGGTTTTGGGGAGCTGGATGTAATTGCCAGCAGAGACAGGGCCCCGCACGCGGTACACCGTGCACTTGAGGGTCTTGTCCTGCAGAGAGACACGGGAGGCATGGCGTCCCGCTCAGCCCCACGGAGCGCCAGGAGGGCTGCAGCAAAGCGGCCCAGGAGACAGAGGAGAAGACGCCGCTCCTGCTGCCAGGTGCCCCGGCCCACTTACCGTCACGACGGCCACGTCGCCCTCTTTAGAGGACCGCTTCCACTCGTCCACCTTGAAGTGTCTGAAGACGTTGAGGAACGGCTGCTGCCACACTGGGGGACACGGGGGCGTGAGGTGCCAGACCCACCGCGGGTCTAGGGAGGGGGCCGGGGCAGGGTCTGCGCGCTCCCCAGCTGTGACAGCCAGCGCAGCGCGCGGACTGGGCTCCGGGCGAATCTCAACACCAACCCGTCCGCGGCGGCGCCGGATCTCGGGTCCCAGACCCCGGCGCCCGGCCCCGGGCCCCGAGCCCCCGGCCCTCCCGCCGCGCGCCGCTACCTCCGGCCATGGCGCCGCCGCTCGCGCTTCCCGCCTCGGCCACCGCGCGCTCCACGCAGAGCACGCAGTGCGCGCCTAGCAACGGCCGCCTGGCAACGACGCCACTTCCGCCGTTACGGCGGCAGGGCACGTGATCGCGCTTCAGGGTCGGGGCCTGACACGTGACCGCGTGACGGGGCGGGGCCTGGTGAGTGACCGCGCTGGTGGTCTGGACCCCCACCTCACCAGCTGTTTCTCGGGGCGCCCCCAAACCTTGCCCGACCACTTCCTCTTCTCTGCTGTCGTGCCCCGGGGCATAAGGAGCCTCCGCCCCCAGGCCTCTGCGGCCACTCCCAAGCTGGGACCCCCTGGGGGTACTCTAGCGCCACCAGCTGTGGGATCCGAGAAGGTTCCTGACTCCCTCTGGGAGACATCTTTGTATAGGGTATGAGACGCAGCACAGAAATTGTGAGCTGCACTTGGCAGGAGCTGTCTCCACCTACCCTGTTGCTACCTAGCTCTCTGGAGGCACGTGTGTCAGACGCAGGCAAAGTCATCTGGCCCCACAGGCAAAGCAATGTCCTACAGGACCCCGAGGGCTCCCCACCAGACCTGGAGGATTCAGAGACAGCACCAGGCGTCCTGAGACCTGACCGCAATTCTGGGTGGCTGGGGCGCCATCTCAGGGCCAGTTATGTAACATTTCTGGGTCTTGAGGCCGGGTTCAGACACCTGCCAATGACTACGGGGGTGGGGGGTGCGGTGTCAGGTGGGGCGCGGTGGCATTTATAGATTTCTATGCAAAATGACCTGGCCCAGGACACAGGAAGGCAGCTGGGCAAGAGGCTGGGGGGGACCAAATTTAGACAAAGCTTCAGCTGTAAAGAGATGAGGCTACAATGGAAGGTTGGGCTGGGCCTGGTGCTGGGGCACAAGCGCCCCCCCGCCGCATCCACCCCCCACCACCCCCAAGTAAAGGCCTTTCCAAAGGGCAGTTTCTCAACTTTATTAGCCTGGAGCTCCTCCCTGCCAGCCCCACAGGCTGGTCCCCGGGCACAGTGAGCAGGACTGAGGTCAGACAGTTTCAACCCCTGGCCTCTGGCAGCCTGGAACAGCTGGGCCAAGGGGTCAGCAGGAGCAAAAGTCCAAATTCTGGCACTTCAGGTGTGGCCGGCTCCTGGCCAGGCCCAGGGTGAAGCACGGCACACCGCAGCGGGTGGACAGGGTGCCGTGGTCCTCTCCTGGCAGAGGGTCCAGCGTGGGGCAGGGCCAGGCCCTGCATGGGCAGCGTTCCTTCCAAAGCTGCGACTAGGAGCAGTTGGTGATCCTGGCCAGGAACTGCTGTGCCCACCACTCGTCCAGGTCGATGGGTACGAAGTCTGCAGGGGGGCAGAAGGCTGGGCAATGATGTGCCTCCCAGGCTGACTAGCGTCTCCCACCTCGAGCTGACCACAAGCCCCTCACCCAGACCCCAACTGTAGTAGATGCTGGGAAGAATTGGGTCAGGCTCCAGTCCTCTTCCCAACCCCCTGGGGCAAGAACCTGGCTGAGCCAGATCAGGGTTGGAGGAGGTGGAGGGGACACCCTGAGGGCGGGGGAGGGCTCACTCTGCAGCCGGGGGTTGGGGGTCCTCTCCACGTATTGCACTGGCCTCGGCCCGCTCTCACCGGCTGGGCCACCACCCAGCTGCTGCTCCACTTGCTGCCAGGCTGTGGGGAGAGGATCGTCAGGCTGAGCCAGGCCCCTGGCACTGTGTCTCCCACCCCAGGGCATGGTGGCTACCCTGGACCCCAGCCCAGAACTGGGAGTGGGCAGCCTGCTGGATGGTCACAGGAGAAACAGGCAGAGAACCCAGGAAGAGCCCAGGCCTCTGGCAACTTCGAGTGAGGTTACAGTGGGAAAAGGACCAGTGGCCCAGGTCACACTCTCGGGCCTCAGCACTACCTTCGGACACAAATCGGACGTTCTCCTCGTGAGCCAGTGTGTAGGTCTCCTGGGTTCCCTTGAGGGACGGGGATGTGGCAGGTGGCCGCCGGCCATTCACCCGATTGAACACGAGCCTCGGCCCTGGACTGCAGGAAGGGGGAAGAGATGGTCAGCAACTGTTCCAAGCCCAGGTGTTACCTGGCAGAGCTCCCGGAGCAGCCTCAGGCCACCCTCACCACCCCTGGGCCAAGCCCAGCCTGGGCACTTCCCTGAACCACAGGAAGGCTGTGTGCTGCAGCCAGTGGCCAAGGCCTTTGTCGTGCAGGCCTGCGCCCCCAGCAGCTCAGTTCACAACTGCAGCCCCCCGACCCTGAGCCAGGCCTAAGACTGCAGGGGTGGAGTGGGGCCTCTCTGTGTCCCCAGATCCCCTGCAGAGCTCCATGCTCAAGGCACATAGGCGGCCCTCCAAGGGTCTCAGGCACCCCCACTGCCACCAGCCACCCACCTCCCCTGGACCAGCCAGGCCTCCATCACCCTAGGTTTTGACCTGCGTAAAGGTCACTTGGCCCAACCCCACCCACCAGGCGCAGTTCTTGGCCACTTTCTCCCCCACAGAAGTCTCTCCATCTCACGATGCCCCCCAGTGTGGGATGAAGGACCCAAACAAGAGCTGACGGCCTTTGCCCTTCCCTCTCCCAGCTGCCCCAGGTCCCCAGGGACAGCTCCTGGTCTGGCTAGACAGCACCAAGTGCTGAGTGGGCCATCCTGAGTAGGGAGGGTGTGACTGCAACCCTGGCCCACCCCTGCAGGCCCCAGATGAGGGGCTATGCTCTTGCCCACGGGGGCAGGAATGCTGAGTAAGGAGATGGCCCTGGGTGCTGGAGCTCGGCCTGGTGGGCATTCGATGTCCAGGTGGCCACTGGGCCCATCCCGGCCAGCCGGGCCCAGGGCATTGGTTGGGCTGCCCTGGCCAGTGGCAGCTGGCCCAGCCCTGTGCACATGAAGCCCGGGACAGGGCCGTGGAGAGTGCGGGGCCCACACCTACAGCAGGAGGTGGGAGCCGGGAGTCCTGGGCTGCACGTGCCACTCCGCCAGGCACTCGCGGTCCCGCCGGCCTGCTCGCCATCCTGGGCTCAGGTGCCCCACCGCCGCTGGGGTTTCCTCCTCAGTTGAGAGGGGCACTAAAATAAAGAGGAGCGTCTTGAGGGGCACCAGTCCCACCAGCTCCAGGCTGGCAGGGTCAGGTGGCCACGTAGAATGTGGAGGGGCAGGGCTCCTCCCAGGCCTGAGCTATACCAACCAGAGGGCATAGCTATTTGTCCTTAACTGGAACAGCCCCTCGTCTGCTACCCTTAGCCCTAGAAAAATTTGGAGACTGAACATCAAAGAAGGAAAAAAAGAACTGCAGTCAAAGGCTGTAAATCGCAAGTACCTAGACGGTGGCCTGGCCAGGGCTGAGAAGGGGCCCCAGCAAGCGGGCACCTGGCCGCCCGCTGCCGGCAGTTACATAAGGCAGTTCTGCGGGCCCTCTGGGGGAAAGGGCACAGCTCCCTGTGCACCTATGGACGAGTCCAGCGTCCGTCTTCCCCACCCTTCTCTGTGCCAGCGCCCAGGGACTCGGCCCGCAGGAAAGCCCCGCCCACAGGCAAGCTCTGCCCACGGCAACAGCAGCACCGGAATCCCTGCTAGGTGCCTGCTGATACAGGCCTCGCTTCCTTTTACTTAACCCCCTTCACTACTCTCCAAGGTAGACCACCCACCCGTTTTCAGCCCAGGAACGTGGGTTCAAGAGAGAAGTGACCTGTCCAAGGTTACATGTGGTGAGTGGGTGGCAGCATCAGAACTCTATGCCTGTCTGACCCCAAAGCCCACAACCCAGTACAGCTTCCAAGCCCCCTCCTCCACCAGTCCACCTCCCCTGCACCATCAGGTGGCCCCATTTTCTCTTCTCCCCAACAGTTGATCTTATTCTCTCTCGCTGGAAGGGAGAACTCATCACAGGCACAGACTCATGTGGCCTGTCTACCACCACGGGCAGCGCCCGGCCAGAATCTGAGCCCGGACATTTAGCAGGTCAAATGCTTTGAGCACCTGTGGTGCACCAGGCACAGAGGGTGCAGCAGTGGCTCAGACTCCTTCCTCCTGGGCAAAGTCTGGGTGAGGGAGGGTGGACAGGAAGTCTGGGTGGAGTGATTTCAGAAGTTTCAGGGGCTCCTGGTGTGGAGGACCTGGTGGCTGCCCTGGCCTCCCAGCGGGGGTACTCTTCAAGGTCCCTGAGACTGGCAGGGGGCAGCTCAGGGAAGGAGTGACCTCAGAGGGAAGGGGGGACGGCATGACCAGCACACACTCTGCCTTCCTGCCACTCCCCTGTACTCACAGTGCCACACAGGACTGCAGCAAGCTGAGGGGCCAAGCACCAGCACCCCCCTGAACCCCGGGACCTGGCAAGTTGCAACATCTTAAGGGCTCTGCTTTGTCTTTCCCATCTCTCTCCCCAGCACCCTGATCCTGCCACAGATTCACATTTCCTTCCCCATTCCCCAGCAAAGGGGCCATGGAGGAAGCAACAAGTTTCTCCAGGTAAGGGGCGGGGAAGGCTCCCTGCTTGGGTGATTGGGGGGGGGGTCTACACACCTATGCCTTATTCCCTCCCCTGGGAGGTAGGGCGGCTGTGAGGACCAAGGCTGATGTCACAGGCAGTGTCACAGCACAGCTGGGTCCTGGGAAATGCCCCCCAAGGTCCCACTCACCCCTCTCCCCAGGATGCACTTGTGGCCGGCCTGGAACATTTTCCTCACTAGGACCAGTCTCAAAGTGTCAACATGCTCCTAGCAGGAGGCCCCAGGAAAGGGCCTCAGCCAAGAAGGGTCCTCACAGGCTGCCCGCACCTGTGGCATCTGAGGCCAGTAACTGAGGGAGAAGGTCAGGCTGTGGCCTGCAGCACACAGCTCCCACCTCTTAGCCAATCCTGGAAGCTGTTTGTTCTCAACTTGGGAAGAAATCCCAAGGCCTGGTCAGCGCTGCCTCCGGGCCCTGAGTCTGCTGCCCCCACCCATCCACAGCCCAGCTCAGGAGCCCTCAGGCCTGTGTGGGCCTGGACTAAGCCCTGGGCCCAGAACATGCATAGAATAAATGAAACCAGAAGCCAGGACCTGAGCCAAAAAGTGAAAGGTTCAGTCCTGGGGGATGGAGGATATGACCTCCAGGTCACA